CGGTCCCCAGCCTTTTTGGCACTAGGGACCAGTTTTGTGAAAGACAATTTTTCCACGGACCAGGGGGTGGGGGTGGGGTGGTTCAGGCAGTAACACAAGCGATGGGGAGTGGCAGGTGAAGCTCCACTCACTTGACCACTGCTCACCTCCTGCTGGGCGGCCTGGTTCCTAAAAGGCTGCAGACCAGTACTGGTCCGTGGTCCAGGGGTTGGGGACCCCTGTTATACAACACAGGGAAATATAACCATTATTTTGTAATAACCTTAAATGGAGTATAATCTATAAAAGTAGTGAATCACGGTGCTGTACACCTGAAACTAATATAATATTGTAAATCAACTATGTTCGGTTAAAAAAAAATGCTTCCCCTCCAGTATTGGAAACAAATCAAGGATGTTTGTTCTCACCATTTCTATTCAGTATTGTCCTAGAGGTCTTAAACAATGCAATAAGGCAAGAAAAGACATAGAAGTCATAAAGATTGGAAAGAGAGCAAAATTATCTTTGTTCAGTATAGTATGATATCACTTACGCGTGGAATCTAAAAGACACAACAAACTAATGAATATAACAAAAAATGAAGCAGACTTACAGATCTAGGGAACAAACTAGTGTTTACCAGTGGGGAGAGGAGAGGGGGAAACTATTGGGTGTAAGATAGGCTCAAGGATGTATTGTACAACATGGGGAATATAGCCAATATTTTGTAATAACTGTAAATGCAAAGTAACCTTTAAAATTATATAAAATTAAAAAAAATTTTTTTAAGAAAATTAGTAGACATAATGAGGATAATGATCAAAATGCACCCTTGTGGTATTTCCCCAAAGAGCCTTCCCCTTCCAGATGGCAACAAGGAAAAATAAGCTTTGGAATGAGTCCTCTTTACATATCTTGTAACCAAGTAGCGTTTTGAACTATTCATAATATTTATTTGAGTTTCAGTTTCTCCAGGTGTGTGTGTGTGTATAAAGCAAGAGCTATTGGCCACTAAAAAATATTGCCTTTGTTCGCAGATTATGTGAATCTACACAACCCTAAGGAATCTGCAAAAAACTGCTAGAGCTAATAAGTAAATTTAGCGAGGTCAATACACAAAAATCAATTGTATTACTATATACTAGTAGGAAGCATTTAGAAAATGAAATTTTAAAAAATTCCAATTACATTAGCATTTAAGACGTGAAATAGTTAAAAATAAATTTAATAAGACATGCAAGACCTTTACACTCAAAACTATAAAACGTTGCTGAGAGAAATGAAAGAACTAAGTAAATGAAAAGATATACTACATTCATGATTGGAAAACTCAATATTGTTACAGTGGCTGTTTCTCCCTTAAATGACCTATAGATTCAGTAAATCTCGATAGACTTTTACATAGAAATTAACAAGTTGATTCTGAAATGTGTATGGAAATGCAAACTAATCTTGTCAGACTAATTTTGAAAAGAAGAAATCTTAAATTATCTGATTTCAAGATTTAAAATAAATACACAGTAATCAAAACAACATGGCATTTTTGTAAAGATAGATCTATATAGATCAGTGGAACAGACTAGAGAGCCCAGAAATAGACCCACACATATAAAGTCAATTACTTTTTGACAAAAGGCTAAGGATACAGAAACAGATCAATGGAATAAAATGGAGGGGCAGAAGTACATACACCCATAGACAGTTCATTAATTTTAGGAAAAGACACTTAGGTGATTCAATAGGAAAAGGAAAGTCTTTTTTTTTTTTTTTTTTTTTTTGGCAGCATTGGGTCTCCATTGCTGTGTGCAGGCTTTCTCTAGCCGTGGTGAGCAGGGGCTACTCTTCATTGTGGTACACTGTCTTCGCATTGTGGTGGCTTCTCGTTGCGGAACACGGACTTTAGGTGCACGGGCTTCAGTAGTTGCAGCACACGGGCTCAGTAGTTATGGCATGTGGGCTCTAGGGAGCACGGGCTTTAATAGTTGTGGTGCGCAGGCTCAGTAGTTGGGCTTAGTTGCTCCGCGGCATGTGGGATCTTCCTGGACCAGGGATCAAACCCGTGGCCCCTGCATTGGCAGTCAGATTCTTAACCACTGCGCCACCAGGGAAGTCCAAGGAAAGTCTTTTTAACGTGGTGCTGGAATGACTGAATAAACATGTGGATTAAAAAAAACCCTCAACCCCTGCCTCATACTAAACACAAAAATTAATTCAATATGGATAATAGAACTCAATTCAAAGCTAAAATAATTAAGTTTCTAAAAGAAAATACAAGAAAGTACTTTTGTGACAATGAAGTAGGCAAAGGTTTTTTAATAAAGACACAGGGCTTCCCTGATGGTGCAGTGGTTAAGAATCCTCCTGCCAATGCAGGGGACATGGGTTCGAGCCCTGGTCCGGGAAGATCCCACATGCCGTGGAGCAACTAAGCCCGTGCACCACAACTGCTGAGCCTGCACTCTAGAGCCCGCGAGCCACAACTACTGAAGCCTGCACACCTAGAGCCCATGATCGGCAACAAGAGAAGCCACCGCAGTGAGAAGCCTGCACACTGCAACGAAGAGAGTAGCCCCCACTCACCGCATCTAGAGGAAGACCACGCACAGCAATGAAGACCCAACGCAGCCAAAAATAAAGAGAGGGAGGGAGGAAGGAAGGAAGGCAGGCACAAAAATTACTAAGCATAAATGAAAAGAGTAATAAAACTGGACTTCACCAAAAATAAAACTAATACTCATTGAAAGACACAATTAAGGGCTTCCCTGGTGGCGCAGTGGTTGAGAGTCCACCTGCCGATGCAGGGGACGCGGGTTTGTGCCCCGGTCCAGGAGGATCCCACATGCCGCGGAGCGGCTGGGCCCGTGGGCCATAGCCGCTGAGGCTGTGCGTCCGGAGCCTGTGCTCCGCAACGGGAGAGGCCACAACAGTGAGAGGCCCGCATACCGCAAAAAAAAAAAAAAAATTTTTTTAAATAAATTTATTATTTATTTTTGGCTGTGTTGCATCTTCATTGCTGTGCGGGCTTTCTCTAGTTGTGGCGAGCGGGGGTTACTCTTCGATGCAGTGCACGGGCTTCTCCATGCGGTGGGTTCTCTTGTTGTGGAGCGTGGGCTCTAGGTGCATGGGCTTCAGTAGTTGTGGCGCACGGGCTCAGTAATTGTGGTTCGTGGGCTCTAGAGCACAGGCTCAGCAGTTGTGGCACACGGGCTTAGTTGCTGTGTCGCATGTGGGATCTTTCTGGGCAAGGGCTCGAACCCATGTCCCCTGCATTGGCAGGCAGATTCTTAACCACTGCACCACCAGGGACGTCCAAAAGAGCTTTTTTAAAAATGAGAAAATACTTAACAGACACTTCACGAAAGAAAATATATGAATGGCCAAAAACACATGAAAAAGGGCTTAGAATAATTTGTCATCAGGGAAATGCAAATTAATAACATAGTCAGATACCATTTCACATCCACTAGAATGGCTAAAAAGCCTAACAACAGCAAATGTTGTCAAGGATGTGGAGCAACTAGAACTCCGTCACATTTCTGTTAGGAATGGAAAATGGCACAACCACTTTGGAAGTCTGACATCATCTTATAAAATTAAACATACCTTTACCTTATGACTCAGCAATTTCACTCCTAGTAATTATCCAAGAGAAATGAAAACATATCCACAAAAACACCTGTACAAGAATGTTTATAGAAGTTTTACTCACAATAGTAAAAAATTGGAAGCAATTCAAATATTCAACAAAAATATCAAACAAAAAATGAATAAACAAACTATAGCATAGTCTATGGTGATAGGAATCAGAGCAGTGGTTGCATAAGGGAGGTTGTTTGGAGGGAAGAGAAGGGAAGTTTCTAGAGTGATGGAAATGTTCTTTATCTTGATTAGGGTATTGGTTACCTTTGCAATATTGGTTACATAAGCATATACATTTATCAAAACTTTGAATTGCACTTAAGAGAAATTCCACTGTAGGTAAATTTTACCTCCAAAAGAGAAAGAAAAACCTTATATAATTAAAATAGAAGTGATTATTTCTGTAGTCAATACTATATATGTGTGTGTGTGTCTAGGTATATATGTAATTTTACATAGTATATGACCAACATTGAGTGCATGTTTTAATTTTTTTCAACAAACATCTGTTGTGTATCTGCTGTGGGTCAGCCATTGTGATAGTTGCTGGGGATATAAAGGTGACTAAGAGAAAGTGGCTGGACTTATAGAGGGTGTAGTTGGAGCAATAAAAACACAAGAGGAAAGTGCTAATGTAAAAATGGATGCTGTGTGTGAGGTGAGTGCAAAGGAGGGAGAAAGTTATTGTGATTTGTTGGGGTTGGAGAGATGTGACCAAAAAGTGAATAAACTTTTGCACGGGAAGAAGGGCTTTTTTAGGTCAAGAGAACCTCATGAACTAAGGCACAGAGGCATGAGCCTACATGACGTGTTTGCAGAATTTTAATTGGTCCAACGTGACTACAATAATGGGAGATGATATCACGATGGGGGATGATATACTTAATGATGGGACCAGATTGTACAGGGTCATAAAATGCCATACTAAGGAGTTTAGATTCATAGCCAGTAAGGGGTCACTGCTTTTAGGCAAGAGTGACATCAATTCCATTTTTTTAAAAATGTATCTGGTAGTAGTAAAGAATTATTAAAGTTGGGGAGAGATTAGAGGCAGAATGAACAGTTAGAAAGGGGTTGTGGGACTTCCCTGGTGGTCCAGTGGTTAAGACTCTGTGCTCCCAACGCAGGAGGCCCAGGTTCGATCCCTGGTCAGGGAACTAGATCCCGCATGCCACAAGTAAAGATCCCATGTGCCACAACTAAGACCCGGTGCAGCCAAATAAATAAATAAATATTAAAAAAAAAAAAAAAAAAGAAAGAAAGGGGTTGCAAGAATCCGGTGGTCGTTTATTTTTTTAAATAGTTATTCACTAGAATTTTGTGATTAAACATTTCTAAACATTTGGCTATTTTTTTCTCTTTTTCTTTAAAATTAACAATAGAAATCCAGAAACATTTTGGACCACCACAGGAATGTTTCCCCAAGAGTTCATTATTTGTTTTCACAAACATGTAAGGATTGAAAGGCTTTTAATCCAGAGTTACTTTGGTAAGCATGATATTTTCATTTCACTTCATTTCATTAATTTTCATCATCTTTCAGTTTTTTCATAGGCAGAAGGCACATATGTAAACTTTTGGCAAAACACTGATTTTTTTTTACCGCATGGAATCCAGTTTTCTTGCTGGGGTTGATGGGTGGGGAGTATGGGTTAACTGCCTTGAGCACAGTTAGCCTCTCTGAAACTGCAAATTTGAAACCCTTCCAAAGCACATAATAATTTCCATGCAATTTACTACGTGAAAGCCTTTGGCAAAAGACCGTGTTATGAATGTAAGAAGCCAGCTTGCCAGAACACTAGGTTTCTTGACATCTTTATTCCAGATTCTTTTGGCTAAGGGTTCTCTGTCAAATTTTTTCTGACAATCTGATAATCCTGATTATTTGCATTTGATAATTTTGATTCTTTTATTAATAATGGCATTTTCTGAGGGATCCAGGAAGACTATCTCCCACTGGAACATCATCCTAATCCTGTCTTATGTTTATTTAAGGATAAAGTATGTCAGACAAAATCATGGCAGGAAACAGGATATACCCCAGATGACTCAAATGAAGAGACATTATTGATGGGACTACTTACAGAATTATGGCCTGGGTTAAGGGAACAACTAGGGATGGTGAGACACCCAGAAAGTGGCTACAGCAGTAAGCCATTACCTCCCCTGGGCCAAAGGAAGGAAATAGTATTGCTGGAGCCCAGTAAGTGCTGGAGCCCATGCATAAGAGCCTGCCCAACAGGAGCTGTAACCAATGAACGGACATAACAACTGTCAGACACGGCACTGAAATGGGAAGGGCGCGGAGAAAATACAACCTGATGTCACTTCCCCACTGCTCTTCAGTTTCCTTCCAGTGCCTCCAGTTGGCCAAATCCAACCAGTAGTCAGTGGGCAAGTGAGTCCAGGTGATGCAGTCCCCAGGGGTCCTCCCCACAGGGCACAGAACACAGAAGGGGAAGAATGGATTTGGGGTGAAGGGAACTGATTTAGGGATAAAGGAAAAAACAGTGCAGAAGGAAGATGACTGCATTTTCTCTTCTGTCATTAATTGTGAAGGCTCTGGAGTCAGACCTAAAGTCTGAATTCCAGTTCTAGCACTTACTAGCTCTATATCATTGAACACTTCACCTGGCTTCTCTAAGTTGCCTGATTTCTTTAAGCCTGTTTCCTCATCAGTAAAGTAAGTTAATAATACCTTTCTCCTAAGATTGAAGTCAAGAGTCAATGAATATGTCTGACTCATAGTAGTTTCTCCATAAAGTTGTATGATCAAGACCACTAATGGTATTATTTACCAGTGTACAAAAAAACAAAAACAAAAATCTAGATAATTCCAAATGCAGAAAGGCCCTACTAGCTTTGTGTTGTATGCTTGCAAACACTTGTAAGATTACAGTTACACAGTCTGCATTTTACTGTAGGGACTTACGGAAAAACGGAGTGAGTGAGTGATTTTCAGAACATGTTGTTCCTGATCCCAGTACTTTGTGCAGTCCCACCAATGCCTGACGGTCTCAGACAAAGGAAAAAAGGAATACAGGACAGCAACATAGAATTAGATAGATATTAACACTTTATTTTGTTTCTTTACAATGTCAGTACAGACCTTGAGGATTGAAAAGAGCACTTCTAAAGAGCCAGTTGATTTTGAGCAGTGGATTGAAAGAGGTATGTGCTGTTTCACCAACATTGTTCTGATCATGAAGAAGTAGAGAATTGTCCTTTACTCTGTATTTCCAACTGGGCTGCATTTTGGTGAAAAAAGATGACTTGAATGATACTTGTGACATACATATATATATATTTAAAAGGACCCTAGGTACCTTCTCCCCTATAAAGCTAGTGACCAGTCTTTCCTCCCACAAACCACCCCCAAGAGGTGACTAGGAACATTGAATGTTGAGGCTCAGGACTCAAGGAGACGAGGCATAGTAAAGAGAGTGAGTGAGACACGGAGTAGAAAACAAGGGATTTAAGTGGAAGCGTACATATTGAGTGGTGGGAACTCCAGCCTCCTTCCTGTGCTCTGCTCAGCGACCAGGAATATAGCCCCAGCCAGGAGATTGGAGGATTCATCTTTGGAGAAACTGAATGGTCCCAGAAGATCTGTGGATACTGACACAGGCTAGCTCATTCCTGGTCACCCTATCAAAGTCCAGTAGTCAACGAGTCTGGCTCATGCACATTTTTCAAATGATCTATTCATGAGTAACAGAAGCCAAAAATCACCAGACATATGATGAAGGCCTTAAAACCTCAATATAATCAAGCCTTTAGCTCTAATTCCAATCTATAGGAAAAGGGGATAGAGAACAAATTAAATGAAACCACGAGGAGGCAATATGAGAAAATGAGGGACATTTACAGGACAACTGACCTCCTCTCTTCAGTAAGTCAATGGTGTGGGAAAAAAGTGTGTGTGGGAGAGAAAGCAGTCCAAGATTAAAAGAGACTTAATTCTGATTTGAATAAACCAACTATAAAAAGACAGTTAGGGGGACAATGGGGAAATTTGAATATGGACTGGATATTAAAGCATTTTTTATTGTAATATGATAATGGCATTGTAGTTATATAAGAAAATATTCTTATTTAGAGATAGATAACCAAATATTTAAAGGTGAAATGTAATTATGTCTTAGACTTTCTTTAAAATACTTTAGCAAAAAAAATTAGATAAATCAAGTATGGTGAAATTTTAGTAATTGCAAATTCAAGATTATGGGTATATATAGGAGTTATATCCTGTCTTTTTTATGTATGTTTGAGATTTTCCAATTTTTCATAATTTAAAAAAATGAAGCAAATGAAAGAAGAGGTTATTATTAACTTCTAGTAGAGAAGGAGTTGTCTAAGAAAGAAAATGTGTCACAATTTATTACTTATTTCAGCAGTAAATAATGTTTAGATAGATAATAGTATAACCATCAAGTATTGATTTCAAAATTGAGAGGATGGCAGGAGGGAAAATTTGCAGGAGGAGGAGGAAGAGGATATTGGTCCAAGAGACATAAATTTTACCTACCATAATATAAAGTCAGTAAAAAATTGATAAATCAAGAAAAGGAGTATAAAACATAATTCCAGGAAAAACAGCTTAAAGTGTTGAAAACATTTGCCTTTAGGGAGCAGGACTGGAGGAAAAGGGGTCAAGCAGGGAATTACTATTTTTCATTACTTCAGAGAAAGGTTAGGAAACAGAAAGTCATACATAATCTTACTTCCCAGAAACTTCCGTTTTTGTACTACATGCCTTTTAAAATTATGTACACTATTTTGATACAAACAAAATTAATTTCTAAATAATGTCGACATTATTATATCAATTAAATATTTCATGTTTCCAAAAGAATGTTTGATGTGATTAACTCATGACCAAATAAAATAATCTGTCCTAAAATTACACAATTAAAGGTTTTCTAAAGCTGGACACCAGAAAAGATCAATTCGTGGGTGGCATAACTCAGCATCATAGTGAAAATTCATTGTGAGAAACTGAGCCCTAGTCTGTACCCATGAGAATGGTAAGATGGCTCCTTTCAGGCCTGCAATTACTCTTAGTAACTTGATCCTTAAAAAGGACTTTCACATTTTATCAATTCTTCACTTTATATTCCTTTACTGTAATTTACATTTACTTTTATTTATACTCACTAGAGGTATTTTATAGCTCATAGTTTATCTTTCATACCTTTTATATCAAATATCTCTATTTTTATATTGAATTTTAACCCCCAAACACTGGTAAATCTGGTCTGACTATAGTTTACCAGATATCGTGTGTTGCTGAATATAAATTTCAATATGTCCTCATGCATTTTGAGCCCTACCTCAATTCTGTTGAATTTGTGTTTTAGATCTGGTACATACAGAGGGGCAGCTTCAAAATGAAGAAATTATGGTAAGTAAATATACTTTGAAGAGATAAACATTATCTTTAGCCAGCACAGCATATTTAAATTTTACACCTAACTCCATAGTCATAAAGTTAATAAATACCCTCATAATATTATAGGTTCTGTGTCTCATCAACCGATAGAGATGGTTATTCTCAATAATATATGACAGTATAATAATAATATGACAGCAAGGATAGAACAGAATTCACTTGTTTTTGTTTTATTTTGTTTATTCATTTATTTTGAAGTATGTACTTGCTTTCCTTTCACTTGATTCTGTAGGCCTTATAGAATAGGAATCAAAAAAGGTTGAGATGCCAAAATCGGATGTTAATTTAAGTATGAAAGGACAAGGGAGATTCAGATAAGGGAACTGGAGCATAGGATCAGCAACAAATAAGCCAAAGAGAGATGAGGTGAAAAGAGAACCAGCAGTTTCCAACAACATTCCATTGGGCTTTGCTTGTCAAGTGGAATGAATGCCCATTGATGAGGAAGCTGCTGCCTCATCAGGAGTTTCTCTGTTCCTGCTAGTTTGTCAGGCCCTGGTTTTAGACAAGCACAAAAAGCCAAACAACTGTGAATATGTGTTTTTTAGGTAGTAGTGTTTATTTAACTAAGGTGTCTCTAAATAAGGGTTAAAGAGGTACCTTGTCCATTAGGTTTCCTTCTTCACAACTTACTGGCAGCTGCTATGAAATCGGTGTTTCAAATGATTCTCTAGGAGTTTTTGAATCCTGTTAATTATCTTCTCTACCACCTAAGTGTGCCCAATGACTGGGGAGGCCAGTGGGGACCAGAAAAATGATTAATTAGACTGAATTTTATCTTCCTGTTTTTCTCCATCTTTATTAATGGGTTATGGTTAGTAAGCCTCTGCTGAGTATTTTGTTTCAGGACTCACTGTGGATCAGGGAGGGTTGCAGCATCATAGAGCATTTGGAGAAAAGTAAGGGGGAATGGAAGGCTGTAAATCACCCAAAGTTTAGTACCCTCTCACAACAGCTTTTACTATACTTATTTTCTTCTAGTTGTTAACCAAATGCATTACATAGTTATAATAGTATGTATGAAAAAATTTGTATCTTTTAAAAATTTAATATTGTATCAAAAGCTTCATAATTATAATTTTAAAATTAAATGTATGCAGATAGATGTTAACTGATTTCCTTTTTCCTCTCTCTGTCATTATAACTAATACTACAGGGGACATCTTATGCCTGTTCCTGCTACCACAATGTTCACCTTTTTAATTATTTTCTAAAATTAAATTTCAAGGAATGGAATTACTGGGTCCATGGGTATAGACATATTTATAGCTTCTTATATATACTGCCAGATTGCTTTTCGGAGACTTTTTTTACATTTTTATATAAATGTAAAAGTATAATATTCAGGGTAGTGTATTCTGAGGCATCATCCAACAAATGAAATCTCTTATTATGAAAAATACTTCAGAAAAACACTTTAAAAAAATTAATCAGGGCTTCCCTGCTGGCACATGGTTAAGATCCGCCTGCCAGTGCAGGGGACACAGGTTCGAGCCCTGTTCCAGGAAGATCCCACATGCCACGGAGCAGCTAAGCCCGTGTGCCACAATTATTGAGCCTGCACTCTAGAGCCTGTGAGCCACAACTACTGAGCCCTTGTGCCACAACTACTGAAGACCGTGTACCTAGAGCCCGTGTTCCGCAACAAGAGAAGCCACAGCAATGAGAAGCCTGCACACCGCAACAAAGAGTAGCCCCCACTCGCCACAACTAGAGAAAGCCCATGTGCAGCAACAAAGACCCAATGCAGCCAAAAATAAATAAATAAAATAAATTACTTTAAAAAAATTAATCAGAATTGTACAGTGCAATTTTTAGCTCCACCTGCTATTCTTCCTCAAACCAAGGCTGATATTTGGGTGCTACATATCAGCATAACTGTACTGTTACATGTGGCTGGCTTCTCTTCTGAACATTATATCTTATAAATCATTATATATTTAGAATATTATTCTTGCATCAAACACTTTCTTCTGCTAACTGCTTGTTTAACAGTTAACTAGAATTCTAAATCATCTATATTGATTTTTCCCGTACAGGTACATGATGGCCACGCCACTTACTTGAGATTCATTATTGTATCAGCCTTTGATCATTTTGCATCTGTGCATAGTGTTTCTGCAGAGGGAATAGCAGTCTCAAATCTTTCTTAATAATTATAACAAAATACTCTTGCACTATTTTTTAACAATATATTTATTTAAACATGAAGTTGTTATTATTAAAGGTATTTGTATCAATCTGTTTCAGTTTTTATTTATTTTCTCTTCAACATTTTGTAGGAATTTGGTTCATCAGACAGCAGTGACGGCCACCGTGTAGGTCATAAGAAAGCTTTTGCTTCGGTATACAGCTTAATCAAGGACGTGACTATACATGAAAACAACTGATAATACATTGTGTCCCCACAGTATCTAACATAGTACCCTTCAGATATCAGTGCATTAATTTTTAAATTTATTGATTGATTGATGCAAAGGGCTAAGGGAGCAATATGGAAAATAAACAATGTACGAGTTCAAAAAAGAGAAAGTATTTATGGGATGGTTTCTTTGAGGTCATGGAACTTGAACTGGGCCCTGTAGGACAAATCATTTTATTTTTTTCTCTTTATTTTATTTTGTTTTGATTTCAAGACCTCAGAGAAGAGTTAGGAAACATATAATCTTACTTCCCAGAGACAACCATTATTGATATTATTTGATTTTCTTTATATTTTGGGAAGGAAAGGAACAGGATAGGACAGATTCGGGTGGGGATATAAGACTTCTCTGAACATATTATACAACTTGAATTTGAAAACATAAATAAATAATATAGCCAAAAGTTAAAGAGCAATTCCAAAATGTTGAAAACAACAGAAATGCATGAACCTAACTCTGTTACAATTGATAAACCCACAAGAAAAAAAAAAATGGCATTAGAATATAGTATTTTATCTATGCAGTCTATGTTAGTCTCTTTTTTTTTTATTTTTTTTTTATCTTTGGCTGTGTTGGGTCCTCGTTTCTGTGCAAGGGCGTTCTCTAGTTGCGGCAAGTGGGGGCCACTCTTAATCGCGGTGCGCAGGTATGTTAGTTTCTTATAGCTGCTGTAATGAAGTACCACAAACTTGGTAGCTTAAAACAATAGAAATCTATTCTCTCAGTTCTGGAGGCTAGAAGTTGGAAATCAAGGTATTGGCAGGGTTTGTTCCTATCAGAGTTCTGAGGGAGAATGTGTTCCATGCCTTTCTTTTAGCTTCTGGTGTTTCTGGCAGTCCTTGGCATTCCGTGACTTGTGGCACCATAGCCCCAGTTTCTGCCTCCATCGTCATATGGCATTCTTTCTGTGTTTCTCCACATCATCTTCCCTCAATGCATATTCTGTGTCTTCTCCTCTTCTTATAAGGACACTGTCATATTGAATTAAAGGTGCACCCTACTCCAGTATTATCTCATCTTAACTAATTACATCTGCAATGATCCTGTTTCCACGTAAGGTTGCATTCACAGGTACCAGGGGTTAAGATTTCATCATATCTTTTGGGAGATGCAGTTCAAGCCACAACACAGTCTTAGTGAAATATATATGTGCTAGTTAATTTTATGTATCATATTGACTGGGTCACAGTGCCCAGATATTTGTTCAGACATTATTCTGGATGTTTCTGTGTAGGTATCTTTTAGATGACAGTAACATTGGTGGATACTGAGTAAAGCAGACTGCCCTCCATAATGTGGGTGAGCCTTATCCATCAGTTGAAGACCTTAGTAGAACAAAGACTGACCTCCCCTGGGCAAGAAAGAATTCTGCCAGCGGGTGGGCCTTCAGACTTGTATTGCAACATCAGCTCTTCCCTGGGTCACTGACCAACCCTACAAATTTTGGATTTGCCAGCTTTCTTGTTATCACATGATACTTTCTTACCAGTCTCAGCATTCTAAAAAAGTAGCAAAAGAGGGACAGCCACAAAGTGCCAACACTTTGAGTCTCTGCTTGTATCATATTTGCTATTGTCCTGTTTCCCAAATCATGTTATATGGCCAAGCCCAGAGTCAGAACAAGAGGGGTCTACCCAAGGGAATGGATATAAGGAGGTGTGACTAAATTGGGAGTGGGGAGGAAGTGGTAGCCACTACTGCTAGAATCTACTACAATTAAACATGGTGCCTCCTGATATGATGCAATATGAAGCATATAGACCAACCTATGAAGTGCTCTTGCCAAAATTACTGAGCCTGAATCAAATCAAGTTCTAGAGTTATCTTTCACTTTCAGGAAGTTCAAGAGAAACAGGAACAAGTAAAATGACACCACAAGGAAGCAAATAGACTTGTAGCCATTAATGCAGCTCAGTGAAATGCCCAGATCTGTGCCTTCTCTGCCCATGGTAAGATATACTTCCTGGCCTTCTTTGGGTAGGGCCATGAGACCAATTCTGGCCAATGAGATGAAGGGTAGTTGAATTCCAGGCTGAGCATTTAATTGCCTTCAAGAGACCCTTCAAAGCTCTTTTCTCTCTCCCACAATGACTAGCAATGTTATTCTCCACAGTAACTACTTCATCATTCTAGGTCTGGGGGTGAGACTGATGATAACAGGTAGCAGAGGTCCCAGTCAATCTGAGGTACACATAGAAGGAGAAATAAAACTTCATTGTTTTTTTTGTTTTGTGTGTGTGTGTGTTTTGGCCATGTGCGGGATCTTAGTTCCCCAACCAGGGATCAAACCTGGGCCCCCTGCAGTGCAAGTGCAGAGTCCTAATCACTGGACCACTGGGGAATTCCCAAGTCACTGATACTTTGGAGCTGCTTGTTACCCCAGCATAACCTGGCCTATCCTGGCTGATACACAGACAAATCTAGAATATGGCTTATCCTACAGGACAAGTGACCTGGTTTCTTCAACAAGTCAGTGGCATGAAAGATGCTAATTAATTAAGGAAGGGGATCCACTCTAGATTCAGAGAGATGTAAGAGCCCCAGAAAGCACATGCTATGTGTGGATTTTATTTGGATGCTGGTTTGAGCAAACCAACCGAAAAAAAGACATTTTAAAGATAATTGGGGAAATCTGCTTATGGACTGGGTTTTATTGTTCATTTTGCTAGGTGTGATACTGGCATTAAGCTTATCTAAGAAAAGGCCCATATTTTTCAGAGATGCATTTAGAAGTATGTAGGGTAAAATAACATGGTATTTGGGATTTGCTTTAAAATACTTGAACATATTTTTTTAAAGGAAAAAGTGTTCGTTGAAGTAAATATAACAATAAATTGTTGGACCCAGGTTATGGATATATGGGGCTTCATTGTACTAGTCTTTCTACTTTAATGTATGCTTGAAATTCTTCATAATAGACAAATAACAATAAACACTACTACAGAGGATATCTCTGTGCATAAATCTTTGCCTACCCCTCAGATGATTTTTTTTTTTTTGGCCATGCTGCAGCATGTGGGATCTTAGTTCCCCAACCAGGGATCGAACCCATGCCCCCTGCAATGGAAGCACAGAGCCTTAACCACTGAACCACCAGGGAAGTCCCGCCGATGATTTTTTTAGAAGAGATTCCCAGAAGGGAATTAGACAAAGTTAGGAACAGTTTTAAGGCTTTTGATACTTTCTGACAATTTGCTTAACAAGATTTGTTGCACAAATTTACTTACTCTCAGAAACGTAAGTTTTAAATAAATGGAGGAGAGTAGAAAAGATACTTCAAGAGTAACGTTGGTGCCATCAAAGATATGAAGGTCAGTACTCTCATAAAACGTATTTAGGGAGTGATGAATACATACGTCTGACTAGGGCAAAGGAGAAGACTAAAACCAGACATTGCAGCCAGATCAGAAAGAGCCTTTAATGCTTTCAGATATTTTCCCATAACGCTGGAGCCATTTAAGGTTTTTGAAAAGGAAGGTGACTTAGAGCAATTGTGTTCATGTTCAATAAAATCAAACACTGAGGATTTTCCTTTCGCCAGCTTCCTAAACTGGAATGTCAGTAATTCTTCGTTTAAGAAACACTGTATTAATTTGTATGGAAACACAAAAGACCCTGAATAGCCAAAGCAATCTTGAGAAAGAAAAACGGTGCTGGAGGAATCAGGCTCCCGGACTTCAGACTATACTACAAAGCTACAGTAATCAAGACAGTATGGTACTGGCACAAAAACAGAAATATAGATCAATGAAACAGGATAGAAAGCCCAGAGATAAATCCACGCACATATGGTCACCTTATCTTTGATAAAGGAGGCAAGAATATACAGTGGAGAAAAGACAGCCTCTTCAATAAGTGGTGCTGGGAAAACTGGACAGCTACAGGTAAAAGAATGAAATTAGAGCACTCTTGAACACCATACACAAAAATAAACTCAAAATGGATTAAAGACCTAAATGTAAGGCCAGACACTATAAAACTCTTAGAGGAAAACATAGGCAGAACACTCTATGACATAAGTCACAGCAAGATCCTTTTTGACCCACCTCCTAGAGAAATGGAAATA